TATTTTCACCTTTATTTTAATTTCGTACTTTATTTTCATCTTAAGCGGTTAATTGCTACCTTTTCACCATGTAAACCATAACTTGAGCTACGGGAATCGGATTGAAGCATTAATATGCGTTGGAAAGCTGAGAAGATAAGCTACAAGTTTCATGTTGAAGTCAAATTCCAGTTCAGGGTGCAGAAGGGTCGAATAATTCAAGTTAATTCCAGACTTAAGAAAATACTTGATTTTTGGGCCGGTTTTATGTAATTTTATGGCCGATTTCTCTTTAAGCCTGATTCTCTTGCACTATTTAAGTTAAAGCGCGATGCTGCTGCTAGAGGATTCCATTTTTACAATATTAGAAAATATGACTTACAATCTTTAGGGAGGTTAACACTACTGCTTGAGACTTAACATAAAGTATACACTTCATATGCAAATAAACACACCAAAATGTGTAATTGAAGTAAGACAAATAACACTTTAAATAAGTTCTTGTGCCCGGAACTGAAGGAACAAGTTTCCGTGCCCGAAAATAGAGGAACAATAGATGTTTTTACCATTAGTAACAGGTTGGACTCATTACAAGTGAGATCCCATTAGGTGAAAAGGTGGAAAATCTAGAAAAAATTATTAATAATAATAAATGCATGTGTGATCCTAAATGTTTTGTGAACAAAAAATTTAGAGCGGAACAATCAAGCCCCCTTCTGAAATTGATAAATGAGTTCTTAGACCATAGGATGAGACAATCAAAGTTGAATCTATGCTAGCTATCTTAACTGGAGAGTACTGGCATGACAGGTAACACCATTAATGCACAAAGTACACACACACACACTTGTGATTGGCTGCATGGATAAGTTGTGCCAATTTTGCAAACAGTCCTTTAAGATGATTTCTGGATTGATTATGAGTTAGAGCTGTTGGAAAAAAGTTGTTGTTGGAAAGTGAATTTTCTGTGATTATCTGTTGCATCACCCGAGGATAGGGGTGTTCGCGGTTCGGTTTAGATCGATTTTAAGGCAAAAATTTATCTGATCCAAAGATAAATTTATTTGCGGTTCAATTCGGTTTTGGATGATATATTAAAAAAATCTAATATGATTCGATCTAATTTTATGCAGTTTAATTTGGAGTTTTTAGATATCCAAATTACACATTATATTTTTATTAATATTATAAAATTACTAATAAATCATAGATTTGATATAATATATAATATATAGTATATTATAAGTTAATATTACAAAATGAGAGTGATCGATTATGGTTGAAATAATAAAAATAAATAGATTATATCAAACTAATAAATATTATTAAAAAATTTATTATCATTTAATAATAAATTCACGTAACATATCATACTAATAAAAAGTAAATAAGTATAAAAATATATGTATGCGGTTCAAATTTGTTTGGATCGATTTTGAAAAATTAATCTGAAATCCGATATGAACCGATCGATTTTCATAAAATGACATCCAAACACGTTCAATAAATTTCAATTTTTTGCGGTTTTCGGTATTTTGGATCGATATTCAATTTTTTATTTGGATTGATTTGGATTTGAACACCCCTACCCGAGGACAAGTAATGATTCAAGTTTGAGGGTGTGATAAACCATATTTTATGAGTTATTGTATATCTTAAAATCTTTGTTTTTAGCTAGTTGATTTATCAAGTTGTAGTTGTTTTATTGCATTTTATTTGCTTTTATAGTAATTTGCATAGAGCACAATTGGTGCTCTCTTTTATAATTTTGATGTGTGTGTTGCATGTTTTAAGGTTAATTATGATGAGCTGAGGCAAGACATTAGGGGAAAACATATGGTAGTTCAAACTAAAGCAAAAAGTTAGAAACAACTCAAAGGGTGAAATGATGGAATCAATTAAATTTTTAGGGCTTATGTGGAAAATAAGATGCATTAGAAGGAATATTTGTTATTGTATTGAAAGAAAATATTTTGAATTCAATAGATAAGATCAAGGGCGCTAGAGGACAAAATAGGGTACATAGTACGCCCACTACAAGCACGTCTTGCAGAAAAGGATAGTGTTGTTTGCAACACTGTCGTTGCAGACTGTCACACTACACCTTGTCCTCGACAATTGTCTATGTACATGATTTCTTGCATACGAAGCAAAAGAAATAAAGGGAATATGCTGAAGAAAGCATTAGACTTGGTGCGATTTCTCAAAAGGCCCATGATCCAAGACAATGCAAAAAGAACCCTAGTTGAAGGCTTATAAATATACTCTATTGAAGGCAAAGAAGATAGTTCAACATCTTGAAGAAAAACACAGAAGAAAAATAGTGTGAGGATTAGTGGAGAGAAAAGAGAGCTTCTTCTTCTCATCATTCCTAGTTCCTACTGCTGAGTCCTGACGCGACTGAAGTCATCACTTGCTTATCATCCATCACAAAGAGGTCTCACCCACTTTTAAGTTTCCATTTATTTTTCATTATTTGTCTGAGAATGTTTCCTTTAAGAACCAATTCTGGAGTTTGTACTCAGCTCATCATGAGCTAAACCTTTTGTTTGTTGAGCAATGAGAAGTTAATATTACGTTGCTTTTATGTTAAGTGATGTGTTGATAGCGTCTTGTTTTATTATTTGTTAAACTTTCATAAATCTAATTCTTTAAATGATCAACTTAAAAAAGAATAAAAACTTATTGTGAGATCCAACAACAAGTGAATTTCATAATAAAAGTAGTTGAAAAGAGTAAGATAGAGATATTCACTTGATTATTTCATTTAGAGATAAGGAACTACAACTATAAAAGATTTTTAGAATATAAACATATGTGGTTTGAGGTTATAAGTATGACATACAGATTTATTCATTGGATTTGAAACACATACTTTTGATGTTGTAGAAATACGCACATAGATCACTTTCTTATCTTTCCTTGCACAATAGTTCACGTCATGTACACATAGTTGCTTCACTAATATTAATGGATCATAGCTCAACTTACATGCTCTTGAATTATTCATCATACTCATTTTACACTGTTTAGGTCTTGTTTAAGAGAAAACTGAACTTGTGGCTCTCATATATTCTTTTTATCCTTGCTCATGATTAAATTTAAAAGACAGTTTCTTACAAAATCAATCTAAATTACTTTTACTCCATGTGAATACGATATCCTTACTTTTTATCGCTTGCTGCTTTCAAATATATACTGTATACTTGCATGTGACACATTTTTAAACAATACCTCATAATGTCACTTTACGATCAATCTTACATATGTACGACATGCGTTGCAATATATGAGATATAGGAGGAGGATGTTTCATATATGCGTTGAAAAAAATTGTAATTTAGACCTTTTTTCTTTTGAAAAAATAGAGTGTCTCTTTGGTGAAGTGATGTTGTTATAAAATGGATGCGTCCAGATTTCAATCTCTGAACACTACAATGGACATTGTCAACTTTCTATAAGATATGTGATCACTACATGGGGTATAATAAGCGCCACCTTAAAAATATGGATGTCTTGTTGTCGTTTGCTCTGATATATCTTCCTTTTGTGAAATATCACTTTCTCCAACTAAATGATGTTGGAAAACATCAACACCCATTATTTTTTATGGACTCTTCAATTTTTCCTCTCATAAATTATTCTAGAAGTGAAGCTAAAACAATTGTAAAGCTAATGTCCAAATTCTTCATATTTACAACCTATAAGTCTAAAGGTATAATTGCTAACTTATCCATCTCTTCCTTTATCTAGTTAACATATTACATTGTTTGTTTACTTTCTAAAAAAAAACAAACTAAATCCAAGTTAATTAGATGTTAAGATATTTGGTTAAGTCTAACTCAACCATACAAAATCGATTTGTAAGGTGAGAATTGTTCTCCACTTATAAGTACATGTTCAAACCATATATTATTTAATGTGTGACTCTTAACACACCCTCTCGCGCCTAAGACTGGACATTTAACGGGTGATCTATCAGATCTTAAACGAGACTCTGATATCATGTTAAGAAGTGTGGTTAGGACAAACTCTAATTCTATCGTGATATCATAATCCTATCAATTTGAGTTAACCATCACTTATATATATGCACACTAAGCCCAAAAAAAATATTGGTCGCAAGGGCGTGTATTGGAAAAATTAAACCCCACGTATCGATAATTTGAGCCACCCACTGTTGATATCCTCGCACCTCCAATAGTGTTGGGCGTGAGGGGGTGTATTAGAATTAGAGTTAAGAAGTGTGGTTAGGACAAACTCTAATTCTATCGTGATATCATAATCCTATCGATTCGAGTTAACCATCACTTATATATGCACACTAAGCCCAAAAAAAATATTGGTCGCAAGGGGGTGTATTGGAAAAATTAAACCCCACGTATCGATAATTTGAGCCACCCACTGTTGATATCCTCGCACCTCCAATAGTGTTGGGCGTGAGGGGATGTATTAGAAAAACCCAAGTCCCACATTAATTAAAACTAGAGCCCACAAAGAATTTATATAAAATGACACCCCTCACCCTACATGTCGACTTTGTAAAGATGAACTATATCAAACTCTAATTCAGTACTAGATGTCACCTTAATCTTATATGACTCATAATATGTAATGTTGAATGTCTTAATCAACCAATTTGTTATCAAATACCAAGAAAGTGTCGCCTCCTTCATCAACTACCTCTCTCCCTAAATGTTGTGGATCATTTCGTCCAATGCATATCAATGGCACCAATCCATAATTTCATCCAACAATGCATCAAAGCAATTGCACCCTTAGAATGTCAGTACCTCTACACAATGGGAATAAAAAAGGTGTCTCAGAATAATGGAGAATACCACTTCTCATTTCAAGCTATCTTACAATCTGTTACCAATCTATACAAAAATATCCCATCCAGCTTTAAATCCTTGGCAATCCAAGCTCCAAAAAGAAGGTTGCAAGTAAAGAAAAGCACAGCCATCATATATTTAAGATGTAAAATAAGTTTCCACCACGGTATAACCTTGTAATGTTACTTAATGCTTCACAAGATGTGAGTATGCTGAGCTACTACTAGTGCTTGCTTGAGCTCCAAAGCTCAAAGTTGGGTGCAGTAGTTCTGCCTGTGGAAAAGAATTATTAGAAGGCACTTCAAGAAGCAGATCCTGATCAGAACTGTCCTCCACAAAGATAAAAGAATCTAGCAAATTTGAGCTAGCATCAGGAGGCAAAGGAAATAGGCTTTTTGGATTATAGAAACTGCCAGCATCTTTAACTTTTCCCTCATAACCAGACTTTGTGATCATTCTTTTGGGGCTCCTCATTATTGTCTTTACCTCTGAAATTCGCAGGATGTGTCATAAGAATGTTTCCTCAGTTAATCCATAAACAACAGTAATAAACAAGGATCCTGCTGCTTTAAAGTTAAGCAACTCACATTAGAGTGTAAAGTACGTGAATTCAACCATTGATGAAAAAATCAATGGTTGATACTCTACACTCGCATACAAAATTGCATATCTAATTTGATATTGAATTTCCTGCTAACCTGGAAAATTCTGATTTCTGCTATCACGCATTCTTTTCATGTTTGCAACATTGGTCGATGCTATACCAGCAGACCCTGAAGTATCAGATTTTTCAGCTCTACTTTTACATCTCTGCATCCATAGAAAGGAGAGTGATATTTGATAAGTATCAAAACAATTTTTTATTTATCTGTACGATCTCTAATATCAAGATAACAAACTATCATAAACCTTGATATGATGGTAGTGTTCCGCCCATTTTGACTTTGACAGATTAGACAGTGCATATCTTATCAAAGTCTTGCAGTCTTCAGGTTTTGCCCCCGACAAAGAGATATCAAAGACACCTTCCGAAAGAAGCTGCTGAAAATAAGTTAAGTTCTCCTTGAATTGAGAGCTCTCGAACATGACCTTAAGGCTGCACATACAACAATACAAATCGTCAATACATACTGATTGGAAGCCTCAGCACCGGAGTTATAACTTTCATACGACATTGGATTTTAAAACAGTTTTCTTGGTGAGTTACAATAAAAACTCAATGAATCATAAGTGAAAGAGTAGAATTCTAACCTATCAGGAAGTTTAGCAGTATCAACCACGGGAAGAAACTTCAGTAATTGCTGCTGCTCTTCATTAGTCAAGATTCTCAAAAACTCTTCATAGTTTACAACATCCTAATCAAACATAATAACAATCACGTTAAGCATTCAGCGATTAGATAGACTTGAGAAGCTAACCTACGTATATTTTTATTTATAAATCTTCATATTATACAAGATAAGACAAGAATTCAACTAGGGGAATGTAACTCACATTTAAATCTATTTCAGACAGGGGTGAATCATGATTTCCAAGGATTTGCGCTCTTTCAAGCTGAGACTTGTCACTGAAATTTAAAAGGCGGAAATATTAATGGCTGCATAGTACGTTAGTGTCTTTTCCAAAATAATTTCAGCAAATTTGTCACAAATATTATTTGAGAGTCAAATGTTAAGAAAAACATAACTTACATGCAAGAACCAATTTTTCGGTAGAAACAAACAAAATAAGTTTTCTTGCTTTGTATAACAACAAAATAGATAGCTTGCCTTTTAAGTTGCTCCTGCTTCATTCCCTGGAAAACTGAGTTCCTTGCCTTTTCAGCTCCCTGACATGAGAAGTTTGTGTGACTGGAACCATTATGCATAGGAATGGCACCAGAATAAGAATATGTGTCACTCATCGGGTATTGCCTATTATCAAATGAAAGAGAGCTAGCCTCAGACTCTTCGTCGCGAGCTACATAGCTAGGATGCCTAATGAGCATACTTCCATGTCCTATCTCAACTGAGACCATTGGTGCTTCATTTTCGTAAAGAAGTTCCTCTTCAGAAGATGCAGAAAAATATGATTGTTGTTCATGAAGAATAGAGCACAACTCTTTTGTGAACTCCTCTACAGAAGAATGGTTTGCACGACCAACACATGTCCTCTTTTTTGAAGGCACTGTGGCATCCCAGGTCACTGACTGAGCAGGTCCTAAATCAATCAAACAATAAATTAAATTAAAGTTTCTTGATGTTAGACATTTTATGATATGAACTTTACAGAGAAAGCACACTATTTTGAAGGAATGGCCAATGATTTGATCAGTTATGAAGAAATACCAGCCATCGAAAAAGTACAAACCTGTCAGATCACTAGCATCTGTTCCGCCAAATTGTGCACAGCTTCCTGAGTTAGACAAGGCTGACCCCGAACTTGATCGGTTGCTCATATCTTCATCAACAGCCTTTAGGAATCCCTGGTTGTAATCGTATGCAATCCCACCAGATGCTACATTATCATGGTATGGCTTCCGTTTGAGCAATTTCATTTCTTTGTTCTTATTTAACGATATGCTCTTAACCCTGGAATGCCTTTGATCATCAAAATCATCAGTTTCAGCTCGAGCATGTAAAGGCGTATAATTTGCAAGTGTTCCCTTTGTCCTCCACCGAGAACCGCAAGCATTGCATAGTATTGGCTTCTCTGGTGGTCCATTGCGCCAAAGTGGTGTGCCTGTTGCAATGCTCAATTGTCAGAAGTCAGAACAAAGTCATATCTCAGATAGTGAACACACATTCATATACAAAGTGCATATTAAACTCGATACCGATACCACAGAATTAATCTCTCAAACCTATTAGATTAAAATATTAGGCAGTTTCTAATTGCCTTTGGTATATTAGAAAGATGGAACTATAGCATTATCTATTAGTATTCCCTATCATAAGGAACTAACACATATCAATAGTTAGTTCAATACCTTCCTGTGTGGGCAAGAAGATATCGATATTAAAAAAACTCAAAGAAGTAACTGATTAAGACTCAAATTAAGAAACATCTGTATACTCGAGTGACACGAATGATTGCATTCGAGCTGAAGTGATTAACAGCAACAGCTAAGTCTCACTATAGTGCACATTGAACAACACACCAGTAGCAATGACTTCAACACTTAAGAAAGTAGAAAACAGCTTCAAGAATTCGGAAAAGGAAATGAAAATCTTCAATGCTCAAGTTGCAGGAGTAGTTCTATAAAGATGATCAGTATTGTAAAACAGAAACAGAACAATCGTGAATTGAAAAAGCCCGAGTATTGATTTTTCATTAGCCAGCCAGCAAAGGAGCAAGACAAGTTTGACAGACGAATGCATTGCTGTCAAAATTGAATTAACTAATGGATTAACTTTTAAAATTCATACAAATGCATAATTCCATTAATTCTCCAATCAAGTTTTAATCGAAATACGAAAAACATGAACCGTTCTTTGATTCTTTTTCATAAAGATCTTAAACAGTATCAAACATTGTTCTAATCAATGCCACAAATCCCTCATTCAATCCAATGAACTATCCTCAATCATTCACCACTTACATTGTCTCAGATTTCAAACACAATCAAGAAAAACAAACACTCAGCAACACAGTGAAACAAAAAACAATCAAATCAACACAATTTCCACATCTTTCAAATCCAAATGCTCAAATCAACAACATCAATCCAACTTTTGAATCTATATAAATCCATAACATCACTCAAAACATGCCTAATTTTTTTTTCTTAGCTAGAAAGTTTTCATTCAATACATCTCAATTTACAAAAACAGTTTCAAACCAAAAAAATAAATAAAAATTATTAAAAAAATTAATAAAATGGAGAAACAAGAACTCACTTGTAACTCCACAGTGATGGCAAGGTCCTTGTTTACCCATGTCTCAAAAATATGAACAAATTTTCCAGAAAAATGAAGAGAAAATACTTTTTTTGACCAAAAAAAAGAAAGAGAAAATTATAGTTATATATTAAAAGGGTTTTGTTTTCTGCAGGAAACCTAAATGATAGTTTGCAGAATAAACAGAAGTCAATAAACCCAGAAAAGTATTTTTATTTATTTATTTGTTTTTTTAGTTAAAATTCAGAGAAAAATTCACAGATGGGAAGTATAATTGAAGGGATTGATGAAGATGAGAAAGTGTAGAATCCAATTGAAGAGAGAAAAATCAGAGAAATGGTTTGTGAAAAGAGGGTGAAAATGGTGAGAGAGGAGAAGAGAGAAAGTCAGTGTTTGTGACCCTTTGTTTTGTATATCAAGTAAATGTTTCAGCTTTTTCTTTTCTTTTTTTCAAAGCTTTTTTTTATTCCTTTTTTTTCAATCATTTTTTTCTTCTCTTTTTTTTTATTTATAATTTATTAATCATTTTACAATATAAATAATTTATTAATATTCCTTTTTTATTATAAAACTTAATTTTTTTAAATTAATTTATCTCTAAAAATAAATAAATAAAATATTATAATTCAATCTACATTTTTATGTCGAATATCACAATTATTATCATCAATCAAATATATTTTTGTAAAATATTCTATAATTTCTTTTTTATAAATGATTAACTATATCTTTAATTTATGTAAAATAATTAAATGAATATATAATTAGTCAAAAATGATGTATAATATGTGGAACATTCAAAAAAAAAAAATTTATTTAAGTATATTTTTAAATTGAACTTGTTTAAATATTAATTACAAAAAGGATTAAAATAGAAGCTTAACTTAGAAGAAAAAGAGAATGGTAGGAGGAATATTATTGAACATATCTTGTTGACTTTGGACTTTTCTTATTTGCTTATCAACAATTTTCAAATCCTCATCAAACATTTGTCCAAATAAATCATAATAAAAAGATCATAAACTATCTCATCTTCACCGTCCATTTTCTAGGTGTTAACAATTTTTTTATAATAATAAATAATTTATTTAGCAATGAATATTATAAAGGAGGAGAAAAAATGTAACCCACATAAAAAGAGAGAGAAAACAACAAGGATTTGGCCTTTCCTAATTTATATTCTTTTTTTATATAGAAAAAAAAAAAGAAGAGAGATTTACTAATTCATGATTATTTTATATTCTCTTGTGTGTGATGACATGATGTTGTTGATGAACATTTAATGTAGTTTTTATTTTTAAGATTAAAAAAAATGGGAAGAAACTTGAGTGTTAGTGGTCACATACTCAATTAACACCGTTGGATTAGTTTTGAATTAAGATTAACTTTATTATCTCAATCAAACAGAGTGGGTATCTCGTGGATTTGACTAATCTGGTGCCTTGTAATTTTCCAGGTAAAAGAAATTAGTTTAAAAGGAATTTGGTGCAATGTAAGGTCATAGACTTAATGTCATAGATCGTGCCATAAGGTCATAGACATAATGGAGCAGTATTTTTGGGTTTAAGATGTGTTTGTTTTAAGATTAAAAAAATGTTTTTGGAAATATAGTTATGGAAATGTAATTATCTTTTGTTTGATTTAAGTTTAAAAAAATAATTATAAGGCATTTTTTATTTTAAAGAATTTTTTTATATGATTCTTTTATATTTATTACAAGTCTTAAAGGTAGGAATATAAGATTTTCATAGAAATAAATTTAATTAATTATAACTTTTTTACTAACATTCATATTTTCTATTATTTTTATTATTTTAAATTAAACAATTATATAATAATCTTTAGAAATCTAAAATTTTATCAAATACATAGGTTTGAATAATATTCCTAAAAATAATAATCATGAAAATATCATTCTAAGAAATATAATTTCAAATATTGAAACAAACATATCTTGTGTATTTTTTTCTTCTAATGCAAATATAGTACTTTATTATTTAGATCTCCTAATGATTTATATATTGGGATAATTTTATTATACTCTAAGAAGAGAAAATTTACGAAGAAGAATGAAAAGTCAAACACACAGGCAAATGGCGAGCTTCGCAATGAGGCATAAGCAGCTTAGATTCGATGATAGGTTGCCATATTGGATTTGGACCATTTGAAGTAGTCCTCACTTGTCTAATAAATGTGAGTGTGAGTGATGACGTGTGACCATACGTATCTGACTAAGAAGATAGTACATGAAGGAAACAACTTCCACCACGATTTCATGGAGGCCAAATCTCCTCTTAGCCACGTCCCCTGATCGTGGAGATAGGATAAGTCATTGTCTAGCTATGTAGCTCAGACCCAAGGAGCATCTATATATACCTCATTCATAGAATGAAAAAGAGGTCAAATCTTTCACCCATAAAATCATACTTAGAATTTTTCACCTTCTCGCGTGAGATAACCCTAAGCATTATCAAAACATCACAAACAACTCCACCAGACTACACTCATTATACTTTTTTAGCAAGTATAATTTATTTTTTATATCTACAAAGTAAAAAAACTTTGTGACACTATCAACAAGAGTTTGGTCTATTTAAAAGGATTATACTTTCACAATTTAAAGTTTAAATCTCGATAAGAGAGGTGTTCACAAATTAAATATATGTCTTAAAATATTATATAAGATCACAAATAGAATTAATTCGATAACAAAAATATATAGGAAAAACAGAACAAAATTATTTTGTTGGAATGATATATACATAAAAAGAAAAGAGAAAACAACTTTAATTTTTTGAGGCCTAGAAAGTAACTTTATTTTGTGAGTATTGTAATTCACGTTCACTTGCTATTATGTATATTAATAAACTAACGATGATTATATGCAACACTAGCTGAACTTACAAACATTAACTAAACCCAACAACCTAACCAAGTCAGTTAGTTAAGTTACTTGTGTAGCATCTTATAAACTTGAATTACACTTTAACATTCTCTCTTAACTCAATGTATTTACACTTATTACATATGGCATACTTTATACCTCTTTGAATTTTTCAATCCTAAGTGACTTGGTTAGAACATATATTACTTGATCCTTTTTTCTGCAGTATGCTAAAGTGATCTTGTCCTTGCTTACATGATTTCTAAGAAAATAAAACTTGATTTCAATATGTTTGTTCCTTACATGAGCTATGAGATTTTTTTCAAGGTTAATAGTTGATTTGTTGCCTACCATTAGTTCCACTTTTTCCTCTTTTCCTATCTCAATCAATAAAAATTGCAACCACACTCTTTAGAAAACTCATTATAGGTTGAGATACATTCAATTTCACAAGGATACAAAGTCACCATTACTTACCTCTTATAGCACCATGAAATTGGAAAATGGAACAACTTGAACGCATGTGCCATTATGCTTTTTCTTTCCACTTTTCTCTGCGCCAATTTGAGTCATAAACATCGACCAACTTATTCCTTTAGCCATCGGGTTTGAGAAATAATATGACATGGTTTATTGTGCCTTCAAGATATCTCATAATTCTTATGATTGCTTGCAAATGTGACAGTTGAGGCTACTGCATAAATACTCTCACCATACTTATAATGTGGCATACATTGGATCTAGAATTGTAATTGTACCTCAAGTATCCCACGATTTTCTTGTATGGAGTCTTATCAACAACCTTGTAATCTTCATTATTTCTTAATTTTAAGTTTGCTTCCATAAGTGTACTTGTTGATTTACAGTTCAAAATATTCAATCTCTTCATGATATCATTGATGTACTTCCTTTGGTGAATTACCAAACATTTCATGGTTTACCATATTCAATGCCAATGAAGTAACTTAGGCCTTCTAAGTTTATCATATCAAATTCAGAGCTCGTGCCAAATTTGAGATTCTTAATTTCACTGTGATTTCTTTTTGTGGATGAGTAGATCATCCATATATAGATACATTGTGTTGAAATCATCTTAATTATGTCTTTTCGCTAAGATTTCATATTAAATTTTACACTTGGAATAAGCAATTTGCTTTAAGAACTTATCAATCTTCTTGTTACATGCTCTTTGAGCTTGTTTCAAGTTTACCTTAAAATCTCATTGGAACCTGATATGGACTGCTGATCAGAATGTGATGTGAACCAAGAAGATGACAGATGTTGTGTTGGAATGGATGGAAATGAGGGGGTGTACATGCAAGGCACTCTAATACTAAAGTGAGAAAGAGAACAATGAGATACAAGAAAGTGATTAGGATTTTTTAGAGTGAATATTGAATACCTGTCCCTCACAAGTGTGAGGGTTTATATAGTTCCCCGGGGCTTGGCCATTGGTCCCTATTTTTGGGTCTGGATATTCAGATTCGTAAAAATAGGTAATTGCCAAGACTTGGTAAAAATAGGAAGTTGTGCCCGTAGCTAGTTGTTGCTCCGAGCACGGGTGGGATTACGGGAAGATGCATTCTGGACGTTCTTGGTTGTCTGCCTCATGTGTGTCGAGCAAATTGGGGATGAAGCTGCCGATATGGGCAGGCGTAAGGCTCGGGGAGTTGCTGATGTTTCCCTGCTTGGGGAGCAATCGACCAGGCGTTCCCGATGAAGGATCAGAGCTGGTGGGCAGAGTTATTGGGCTGCATTGGATGTAGAGGTGGACTGGGCCAATCCTAGTTATTGGGCGAGTCCAGAACATGATCCCCCCAAGTCGTTGCCTTTAGGAAGAGGGGTAATGACTTAAGACGTGCTCGTGGTATTTTCGGGGAACTGCTTCTTTCGAGGATCTTGAGCGTTGTTTCAGGGAGAGGAACGACTAATTAGAATTTGGAGAGTTTGCATGCCACACTTACTTTGGGCCACGTACTATCAGATGTGTAATGATGATTAGTCTAGGAACTAGGGTACAATGATGATGCCCCTTAGGTTTCCCTAGGCGCGTGCCCGCTCACGTGCCAGCAAGCTGCTTTATAAAAGGGGGAGAGGGAGATTTGTTTGCATTTTTTGCTTGCTCTTTTTCTGCTTGTTTCTGCTAGTTTTGCACG